GGGGTAAAGGTGTGTCACCAGGGTGCAGGGGAGGCATCCCCCCCTCTGTCCCCTTCTGGCTGCCTGTGCCTCAATTTTATCCCACAACTTAGACATTCACATTACTCACACTCTCATTACACATACATATAGGATCTTGGGGGTGGGCACGATACACGGAATCCAAAGTACCATCAGGGTGTACACCTCACCCCTGGCGTCGTTGCCCACCTCTCAATGTTAAATACACGTAGACATTGAGGGCTAGCAGGAGGGACCATGCGCTTACCTGCTGCTCTCTGGCAGGTAGCTCCATGCCCTCCTGGGTTTTAAATGCACCTTAGAACACACATGCATCAACACTACAATGAGCGGGTGGAGGGAGGTTTGGAGTCTTCTCTCACCCCCATTCTCTGCAGCCTGCTGGAGCGGGGGGGCTAGGAGGAGTTGGCCGTCTGACTGCGGTCTGGAGTGTGGGGCCTCCCTGCTGCTGCGGAGTCGGGGCGGTCTGCCTCTCCCCACCGCAGGGAAAAGGGTAACACCACCTGGGTCTGGGTGCAGTTCCCCCCTCCAGGGGCAAGGGTACCTAGACCCGGTTCGTAGAGTACGCTTGGGGAGTGTGATTGTGTGTACAGCGTCTCTTTATGTCTGTCTCCACGTTGGTTGAGTGTGGAGTAAGTGCATATGAGAGCATGAGGGTGGGAATGGATGTTTGTATCTGTGTGTGCCTGTACAGTGGGGCAAAAAAGTATTTAGTCAGCCACGATTGTGCAAGTTCCCCCACTTAAAATGATGACAGAGGTCAGTAATTTGCACCAGAGGTACACTTCAACTGTGAGAGACAGAATGTGAAAAAAAAATCCATGAATCTCACATGGTAGGATTTGTAAAGAATTTATTCGTAAATTAGGGTGGAAAATAAGTATTTGGTCACCTCAAACAAGGAAAATCTCTGGCTCTCACAGACCTGTAACGTCTTCTGTAAGAAGCTTTTCTGTCCCCCACTCGTTACCTGTATGAATGGCACCTGTTTGAACTCATCATCTGTATAAAAGACACCTGTCCACAGCCTCAAACAGTCAGACTCCAAACTCCGCCATGGCCAAGACCAAAGAGCTTTCGAAGGACACCAGGAAAAGTATTGTAGACCTGCACCAGACTGGGAAGAGTGAATCTACAATAGGCAAGCAGCTTGGTGTGAAAAAATCAACTGTGGGAGCAATCATCAGAAAATGGAAGACATACAAGACCACTGATAATCTCCCTCGATCTGGGGCTCCACGCAAGATCTCATCCCGTGGGGTCAAAATGATCATGAGAACGGTGAGCAAAGATCCCAGAACCACACGGGGGACCTGGTGAATGACCTGCAGAGAGCTGGGACCAAAGTAACAAAGGTCACCATCAGTAACACACTACAACGGCAGGGAATCAAATCCCGCAGTGCCAGACGTGTTCCGCTGCTGAAGCCAGTGCATGTCCAGGCCCGTCTGAAGTTTGCCAGAGAGCACATGGATGATACAGCAGAGGATTGGGAGAATGTCATGTGGTCAGATGAAACCAAAGTAGAACTTTTTGGTATAAACTCAACTCGTCGTGTTTGGAGGAAGAAGAATACTGAGTTGCATCCCAAGAACACCATACCTACTGTGAAGCATGGGGGTGGAAACATCATGCTATGGGGCTGTTTTTCTGCCAAGGGGACAGGACGACTGATCCGTGTTAAGGACAGAATGAATGGGGCCATGTATCGTGAGATTTTGAGCCAAAACCTCCTTCCATCAGTGAGAACTTTGAAGATGAAACGAGGCTGGGTCTTCCAACATGACAATGATCCAAAACACACCGCCCGGGCAACAAAGGAGTGGCTCCGTAAGAAGCATTTGAAAGTCCTGGAGTGGCCTAGCCAGTCTCCAGACCTCAACCCCATAGAAAATCTGTGGCGGGAGTTGAAAGTCCGTGTTGCTCGGCGACAGCCCCAAAACATCACTGCTCTCGAGAAGATCTGCATGGAGGAATGGGCCAAAATACCAGCTACTGTGTGTGCATCTCTCCTTAGGTTTGAGTGTGTGCGTGCATGGTTGTTTATCCTGTCTGTCTCTATGTTTCCTTGTGATTGACTGTCCAGGGTGTACCCAGCCTCTCACCTGTTGAAAGTTGGAGAGAGGCATCAGCCATGTTTTTGTTTTTAAGTAATTCAGTCTTAATGTAAGTAAATCACTCGACTTAGTCTTTTCACTAAATTGTATCTCCCTACAGACACAGAGCATTGAGAAGAAAAGGGATCTCCTTATCTGCTGCCTCATTAGCTACCTCGGGGAAAGACAAGAAGATCTTTTTCATGACTGCCAGGTTTGTCATATTGATAACAGTTCACTTATTAACTCAAGGGATCCTAATGTTCTTCTCTCCTGTCCTCTCCTATCCCCTGTTCTCCCCTTCTCCATTCATCTTCTGTCCACTCCCCTCTTCAGATCAACTGAAATATATTGAAAAAGCATCTTAAATAAAATAAAACGTCTGCATGCTTTTTGTTTCTTTCTTTTTAACACGTAGGAATGTGAGGATTACACAGACAATATGATGAAGGTGATCGTGATCCACAACATCATGGCTGAGGAGGATCCATCAGATGTGTTCGTTGTGATTGAGGGAAACCAAGTGATGGAGGGATGTGGAAGCCGAACAAAGGCATGTGTACTGCTGATGGGACTGATATATGCCCTCAACCTCGACTATCCGAAGGAGCTGAAGAACACATCTGACACTTTTCAAAAACTGTTTTTGGAACTTGACGGGGCGAAACTACTGAAAAGGGTCCACGGCCTCAAAAATAAGCTTATGCAATGCACACACCTTTCCCCTCTTGTTCCCAGAGGACATAGCTTGGTGGAGCTGTAATTTTTCTTCTGACAGCAAGCACAGAAACTATTGCATGTTGGTGTTAGTGTTCTGTTCTATCTATCCATATGTTTGATAACGTACATGCACAGAAACAACCTTGTAGAGTTTCTGTGCTTTTGGCTTTTAAAATGGACTGAGTGGCCTTTGAAAGTGTTGTCTGCATTAGCTGTTGTGTTGCACTTTATTCTGTATTTTTATGGAATAAAAACATTGAGATGAGGAACCATTTGAATATCTTTTTTGGGGGGGTACATTTTACCTTATATGAATAGGTAATGTTTATCAACCTATAATAATTAAATTTTATTAGTAATTATCAGGTATTACCAACTAGCAAACATGAGATAATTTTACCTAATTTCAATGAGTAAGTAGCTGTTGAATGTATACATAAATATGGGGTAAATTTTACCCAATTTAATTAAGTATTTCATAGCTTTTTATTGAAGTTATTTTATACACAATATATTGAACTAAATCTACCCCAAAAAAGTCAATGCAAATTGTTACCTCAGATTTATTGGGTAGATTCTATAGATGACTTCTTACAGTGTACTGTCAAAGGAGGTAACACCTCGAATCTGATGAAACAGCTGGCGACGCATAGTGTTTTTTTTAAAAGCCAAGAAATGCGCCGTATTTGATAGCTTGCTGCGAGACCTCACACCGAGCACATCTACTGCAGGTGTGGTGCCTGTTATCGGACCCGGAGTAGGCAACATCCCCCAAAAACCCGAAGAGGAGAGTCCTGGCCCCTAGCCCTACCAGTGTAGCAGAAATGATGAGGATGATGATCGCAGCAGCAGCCGTTCTTCTCTGCGTGAGTAACTTCATGTTGTTCGTGTGTAATTTACGTTGAGTAGGCTAACCACGTTATTACATTAATGCATGTAAGGTGAACTAGCAAACATCATCATAGCTACATGCGGCTGTCCTCTTGTTTGATGGCAGATACTCCCTTCACCCTGGCCAAAAAGGCTAAAATGCCCAAAGAAAAAGTGGAAAACAGTTAAACATGAGAGGTTTTTGGACAAAGTTTGTGTTTTTCCATTGTTTAAGCACTGCTTCCAGCCAAGAGTGATACCATATATGCCCCATAGCTGCAGAAAAGGCTAACATTGTTATCTTTTTACAAAAAACCCCCAACTAAACATGAGAGGTTTTTGGACAAAGTTTGTGTTCTTCATTCTTTAAGCACCGGTTTGAGCACCGGCACCGTTTCAAAAGTACCGGTTTGGTACTGGTATCGGATAAAACCTAAACGATACCCATCCCAGGCGTGAGGGAGGATTTGCAAGATGGTAGTGAAACCTACTTTAATTTATGGTTTGAAATGATAGCACTGTGCTTGTGGCAGCATAGCTGAAGATGTTAAGATTTATATTGGGAGTGACTAGAATGAAAAAAAATTAGAAATCAGCATATCAGACAGACAGTTCACGTGGAGTAGTTTTGGGACAAAGTAGGAGAGTCAAGGCTACGATAGTTTGGACTTGTGCAGAGGAGAGATAGTGGATATAATGGACAACGGGTGTTGAATTTGGAGTTGCCAGGGAGGAGCCGAAGATGAAGAACAGATACATGGATGTTGTGAAAGAGGACATGCAGAGGGTTGGTGTGACAGAGGAGGATGCTAGGGAAAGGGGATGATATAGGCAGATGATATAGAGACCGCTGGAAGAAGAAGGTGTCATATACTGGGTTATGTTAGTGCCTGTGTTGAGCTGTGGGGGGCATTGCGGCTTTACGCCATCTGATATGCTTTTGCGTTAGGGCTGCCTAGTGGGAGTTTTATTCGTAGCTGTTGTACCTGTTGCTGTGTTGTTAGAACTGATGCTGAGCACATGTTCAATAAAGCAGCATTATAAGGAAAGAATCACAAAGGAAACTGCTGGAAAGTGTCATGGCACTGGGTCACAGACCCAGTGTGTGTACTTTCTGGTGAAAGTTAGGTGAGCAATGCAAGTCAGGCTCTAACTGACAGCACAAGGTATCTGGCTTGACAATGAACAACAGGAAAGGGCAAAATTCAAACTGGGTGAACAGCAGTGTCCACCTGGATGGGATGGAAGTTGAGCCTTGGATTGATCTCAGATATTCCAAGTTCTTTTAGTTTTCCACATCAAAAACGGTTGCTTGACCCCCCTGCACGCAGTGTTTCCACTCCTCCAATGTTTGCAAGCCACTCACAGTTCCCACATCATACTTTGTGCTAGATCAGCCTGATGCTGGAACAGCACTGCCCCAAACTAGATTGCAATTGTAAACATCATGCTGATGATCATATTATTTCTTTAACATTTTATTACTTTACATTAATTCTGCAACACCTGCAAAATGCTGCCTGTCAGATTTGGCATACCAGCTGTACAAATGTATGCTGACTTGGATTTTCTGCTAAAAGACAGTCTGAATGGTTTTGAGGATGCAGAATCACAAAGTGAGAGGTTTATTGAGGCGAGATGATTTAATTTACAAGGATGTGTCTATGGCTGTATTTCTGTTGATTTTAAAAGATGGCAAGTTACAGTCAGAATCTACACATTAAAGCCCAGTATAGCCATGAGTATCTTCTAATGCAATTATCAGTGCCAGTCTTCAGCACAGGCAAGCTGGTTGGGTCTGTGTAATCTCTGGAAATGGTTTACACTCTCACTCACAGTTACAAGAAAACCAAACCTACAGTAAACAGCAATCATAGTGATATCATCTGATAGTTACAAAGAGTTCTGTCCCAGTAAATACATAAGAGAAGAAATGAAATATCCAGATGCATATGGGTGTTTTACAAAGACCGATCATGAGTTTTTCTTTGCAGGCTTACATTTTCCTGAAATGTTTTTTGTGAACCAAACATAATGCCATACAGTGTTTGCAGATCAGTATTCTCTCTTTCTTTTTCCTAAACCACAAAAAAAAGAATGTTCACAAAAATAAAATTGAAGTTGTCAGATGAGAGAACTCTGAATGCTGGACTGTTTAAGGTCTTAATTTTGATATTATTTTTGACTGCAGTGTTTAATACTTTCAATAGCAGAGTCCATGACTTGAGTCAATACATTTAAAATACCACAATTGGAGTTCATTAGAATGGGATGCAGAAGTTGGACTGATAAGGGTCACAAGTCATTGTCAAAAGGTCCTTAGTCAATGAGACTCCTGTAGACACAGGATTTTGTCTTATTCAGGTAACCTGGGGGGTTAACCCTATGTGTTCTGTGTTACAAAGGTGGTTGATTTCTTACTGGGGTACCTCACTATGGTAACCTAACCTTATCCGGAGCAGGTTAGGTTCCAGATTGGATAGCAACAAGTATGAAACTACTATTGACCAATCAAGTGTCCAAAAGACAGCAGCACCATTCATAGAGCATGTACCTGTGGAACTCTGTGCACAGAGAACAGAAGGGTTTAAAATTTTAAACTAGTGTCTAAAAATAATATCTAAAATAATGTCTGTTATTGGGCTGGGTTTTTTTGTATTTATTCTTTAATCACTCTCAGACCATTAATCGTGACTGGGACTAGAGCCGAAAGAATAAAAACTAAAACTGCCCCATGCCAATTTGGAAATAAATGTTATTGGAATACTTGACTATAACCCATCAGATTCTCCTGTGTCTTAATGATAAAGTTGTGATATTGATAAGTGTAACTCACACAACTGGCATTGGTCTCATTTTCATCACTTACATACCTATAACTCAGGCAGTGGAGACTGTCTGAAGAAGACTACAGCAAGACAGCTCGCTACAAAACAGAACCAGCTTCACCGAAGGCCTGTTTGGATGAACTCTCCTTTCCAGTACCCTAGCATAGACCTTACCAGGAAGACTAAGGAGTGTGATCCCCCTGCAGTTGGAGCACACCTTCTGGTACCCCTTCTTAAAGATGGGAAGCACCTCTTCAGTTTGCCAATCTAGAAGCACCGACCCAGCTCTCCATCTGATGTTGTAGAGGCATATCAACCAAGACAGCCCTACAACATCCAGAGCCTTTAATAACTCAGGGCACACCTTATGCTGCGTTATCTAACTTACCACACGGTGGTGATCAGTCCAGCTCAGTTCTGCTTTTCACCCGAGTGTCCAGAACATACGGCACATGATCAACCCTAGTTATCTCTTGAGAGATAACTACCACTAGGGTTTAAATACCTGGGACTCGGGAGTAAGGGTACTCCCATCGCTGCACGCCATTTGGGTCCCTGTAAAAGCATTTCATGAGCTCATTGCCAGCAATGAGTCAGATTCATTTCCGGTGGGTGTTAAACTCCACAGGGACTGCCCCTGTAGCCAGTTGGTGGAAGGCTTCCACTTTGGTGGCCTAAGAATTTTATTTCTGCTTTTTGCAGACATTGTTGTTCTTTTGGTTTCATCAGGTAGTGGCCTCGTTCATACTGGAGTGTTTCACAGCTGTGTGATGCGATGGGAACTAGAATCGGCATCTCCAAAATCTGAGGCGATGGTTGTCAGTGAGAAAAGGGTGAACTTGTCACTGACCCTCTGCGGGTGAGTGACAAGTTGCTGCTCCAAGTGGAGGAGTTTAGGTAGTGAGGAGAGCAGACTGGTGCTGCAGCTGCAGTGATGCGGATGCTGTACTAGTCCATCGTGGTGAAAAGAGAGCTGAGCATAAACGTGATGCTATGATTTAGCAATCAGTCTACTTCCCTATCCTTACCTATGGTCACAGATACGAGCGACAGAAATGAGCTTTCTCTGAAGGGTGGCTGGCCTCTCTCTTAGAGATAAGAGGGTAAGGACATGAAGAGGGGCTCAGAGTAGAGCTGCTGCTACTCCACATTGAAATGAGCCGGTTGAGTGGGTTCGGACATCTGATGAGCATGTCTCCTAGAGCTCTACTAAGTCAGGTTTTCCAGTCAGGATGTCCTCAGGCAGACCTAGGAGTTTACATCTCTCTGCTGGCCTAGGATTGCCTCAGTGTTATCCCGGATAAGATGGAGGAAGTGGCTGGCAAGAGGAACGTCTAGGCGTCTCCATTCAGGCTGCTGCCTCCGCGACCCAGCCCCAGAGAAGCAGAATGGATGGATATTTGAACAAAAAATTGTTCTATTGGTTCACAGTCATTATGGATTACTGCTTGGAGTATAAAAACAAGAACCCAATTTTTTAACTGAAAATTAGATAAAGTCTGCAACAACAGTACTTTCCATAGTAAATCCAATACCATCATGTCACTAGTGCTTAATTTCCATCACATCTTACTGGCCTCATTTGCTCTTAATAAAGGTCAGTGTCGTTAGGAATAATTGCTTATTGTTTTTAATTATTTTTCAAATACTTATTTAGGAAACTTGATGGTGTTAATGATTATGAGTGTATTACATTATCAGTTAAACCTGGGCTCCATAGACAAGGGATACTGATGATTACTGTAAATATTTTGCACCTGATGGCCCTGAAGGAGCATCTTTTCATGATTCTGTTGAATCCAATAGTCATCTAAAGCAACAGGCAGACAGAGCAGGCAAATGTGACCAAACATAAAAATAACGATGAGAAAAAAAGTCCAGAGATCGCTTGTCTGCACATATTGTAGGTCATTCTCATTTATTCTGTCGCTTAATTCTCTTGTCGGTCATCTTCATACTTTTGTGGTTGATTCACTGCTGGTGTCCAAAGTCATGAAAACAAGCGTGCCAAGCCCACTATGTCAAATTTTCATGCCAAGCTTGGCTTTCTGTAGAAAGACAGAGAGAGAAAGAGAGATTAACTGAGTATTATTCATCCAGCCAGTTCCATAGGAAACACTTTGCAGGGTTCCTGTGTTACTGCATTGACAAAAAATAAATAAATACAGAAATACAAATAAATAAAAAAATTTATAATATACAACTTTACAGCAAAAAGCTTAATATAAGCCAAAATCATTTGGGTCCTAAAACTAAATTTGAAAAGGAGTCCCTCAGACAGACTTATGCAGATTCAATGATGTGGAGTAAAGATAGGAAGAGCTGCCAGTTTTTCCCAGTGGATACTCCCAGCACAAAGACAAAAAATTAATGAAGAAAAAAAAATATGTTATACATTTTAAAACTTTAGTTTGTTAGCTAAAGACAACAAACTTTTGATCAAAGAGAATAAAGAAGAGCTTAACGTACAATTCCCGATGATTGTTTAGGTTTGACACTGTAGGATGCCTTCTCTTTGGCCTGTCGGAAACTCTCTTCTGCTGCTTTTAACCTGCAAAACATACAATGTTAATGCAGTTACACAGTGCATATTCAACAGCTAAGTTTAATGACACGATGCAAGACAGAAAGCTGAAGAGAATGGATAAAGAAATAACTGTACCTCTCTTTGAGAATGGTTTTGTTCTCCTTCTTCCACTGGTCCTTGAAGTCAGAGGAGAACTCATGCCAGATGGAGAAGAACATGTTAGGTGAAACCTCTTTCTCTCCTGCTTTGGCCTTCACTGAGAAAAACACTGTAAGTTCCAGGAACCTGAAAATACACCAGTTGTCACCTTAATATATATCTGACACAAAATTTGTTCTGTGTGAGTGGTTTAAGGACTGTTTTACTAATAAACTTTGTTCATGTTTCTATGAGTTTATCAGAATTGCTTTATAATGTAGCTAGTAATTCCATTTTTGTTATCAATGCCAGTAATAAGAAAGAAGAACAATAACAAAAGCAATCCAGTGCGGAGATGCATTAATGATTGAAATGTAACAGCATTTTATGTTCAAAATGTAATGGATATTAATCTGATGTTTAAATTTTTCACAGAGTTGAAACCACTAACATCAGTGACTATGACAGAGGCTGAAAAAAAGAAATGCAGTGTTCATGCTCTGATACTTTTTTCTTTATATACTATACTGACGTCTACTATATGTCATCATGCTAAGCATTGAAAAGCATTCATTACAAGTGAGATATTTCAGTTGACGGTCATGAAATATAAAGAATACAGCATTTCAAATATAAAAAAAGAAATGTCCAACTTCTTGCTACTGGTAGCATGAGGCACCCGTAGCAAGAATACCTGGACCCTACAGACGCTGCACAGGTAGTTTAATTCATCCACGATGGCATATTATTAAGTGCCATTCCGGAAGATTTGCCATGCATTACTTACTCAAAATTTAACTCTACTGGTTTATTATCATAGTCTCCTGCATTTTTGAGTTTCTGCCAGAGTGAAGTGTCTTCATGGTGGCCAAAAGACTTTTCCCGTTTTTGACAGTTATCATTAACTCTCCTGCACTCTGATTACAATGCTTCCTGGAGGAAGCATCACTGTTGGTGCAGGCGACACAGCGGTACGCTGGTGAGGCTGAAGGCCTGTCTGGTGCACCTTTCTATGGCATTTTAAAAACAAAAAGTAAGGCGCTATCTCCATCAGTGTCTCCATTCTCCAGCTCTGAACTGAGCTTATTTGAGCTGGGTCACTCTCATCTTGTGTTATGTGCTGAGATCTGTTGACCACATAAATGTAATAAGGACTTTTTAAATGACTTTTCTAAATTATTGGTTGAAGTCATGCCTAAATATAATCAAGTCTTTATTATTGGTGATTTTAATGTACATATTTGCTGTCCTGACAAACCAATGGTTAAAGGACTTTTTAAGCCTAATTGGCCCTTAATTTTATACAGTTGGTGTCTGGACTAACACATGGTTTGTCTGTTTCAGACTTAACCATCTGTGATAAAGTGTTTTCAGATCATAAGCCTGTCTTATTTGACATTGCCTTGCCCTGTTAAACCTGTTAAACCTCACACCCCTGCGTGGCACTGTCATATTATTGAACTGCGCATTTCTCTGCTTATTTCAATCTGAAATCTGGGATTCCCGAGTCTGTGTCTTCAGATACAGAGACGCTCTGCTCCTAGTTTCATTCACCCTGCCAAATTGTATTAGATACTGTGGCTCCATTAAAAACCAGGCACCCTGAAACCAAATCTGAGCCCTGGATAATTGACACAACTTGTGCTGTCAGATGTGAATCCCGAAAAGCTGAAAGACAGCTGAAAAAGGGCACACTGCAGGTGTTGTTCAAATATTAAAGAATTGTTGGCTTTGTTTGGTTCAGAAAATGTTACTGGTTGGGCTACCTGTACTCAGGAGCTGTTCCTAAACCTTTTAAGCGTGCAACAGTGAAACCACTGATCAAAAAACCTGGCCTGGACAGTTGGATACTGAATTATTTAACTTTAGGCCTATTAGGAATATTTCCTTTTCTTTCAGAAATTCTGTTTACAGTCAATTGAAGGTGTTTTTTAATTAAAACAATGTCTTTTTTAATCTGGTCTCTAGCACAGAACCTGCACTGCTGAGGGTATTTAATGACATACTCCTGGCTATAGATTCAGGAAACTATATGATGCTAGTTCTCCTAGACCAGGGGTAGGCAACCTTTCTGATGGCGAGTGCCATTTAAAATTTCCTCAGAAGTCAGTGTGCCATATGATTGCATTAGCAATAAATTTCATAACGCTCTGTATGAACAGTTACACAATATATAGAACCACTTTCTAGAATTATATTTGTTTGCAGATGTTGGCAGCTATCAGCGTTATCAGCTATTTTGTTATGTTATGGATAAAAAGACACTTTCTCCATAACAAGAACTCATAACAGCAAATGAACTGTACAACGGAAAATACAAATGCTATTTATGGCCTCCTCACAACAATAATAAGAAAAATAAACTGGGCCAATATGGCATGTTTGTTAATACAGAGACACACATGTTAATGTGATCTCTGGTCTCCCACTCAGAGACACAGGTCTCCGAGTGTCCAGCATTCAGAGGCTACCTGAGGACTCATGTGAGAGAAAATCCGCTCACACAGACATGTAGAGCCAAACACTGTCAATAAGGCCTCTGCAATGTTCTGAAGACAGTTAAACTTGTCAGGTAGTGATGTCCAGCAGGTGAACATGCAGCTCCATGAACACGCACAGCTGTGGATTCCAGCTACTTCGATGTTGCATTAACTGGCATTAACTCAGCCAGTTAATGTGAGACAAATCCAGCTGCTCATTAAAGATTTCTGGTTTGATCAGAAAATAAAACATTGGTCCAAACACCTGAAAGTCCCAAAGACGCCTTGTGTCTCGAGTCTACGGATGTATCCGTGTATTTCCGTGGTGCTGATGCTGAGCTGAGTGGACAGCTTCTGAAGCTTTTGAAGTGTCGGAATGTGGAAAGCTAACAACGTCCCCCTCACCAGTAGGCTAAGTTATTTTTAGCCAATTACAAGTTGAATCTGGTAGTTGGGGTTGTTAGCTAAGATTTTGATTTTATTGATTAGCATTCAAATTCAAATCTCAGTGAAAACAGTGAAAACAAACAAACAAACAGTGAAAACAGAACAAAAATCTACCATAAAGAAAGAAAGCATGAGACAAGGCTAATCAAAAGGTATTGGCTGAAGCATTTGCTTATTACGCCAACCCTTTTCACAAAATATCTTTTTGTATGCAGCTCCTGTACACAGGGCTCGAAGCAAAGAATAAAACAAAGCAAAAACCAAACAAAGAAAGAAAGAAAGAAAAAAAAAAACAAAGAAAAAAAAAACTTTCCACCTTAGATAAGTAACTACATCAAAGCAAAAGAATCAAGAGGTTGTTTTTTTTCTCCTTTTTGCTCTTTTCATTCTTGATTTATATATTTTTCTATTACTCTATTTTTAAACATGTTTTTAAACAAGGAAAATGAACTACACCTTTTTAAATCAGTGTCATAACTATTCCACAGGTTAACTCCTCTAACAGAAACACATCTCTGCTTTATGTTTGTCCTTAACTTGTTTTTTTTAAAGAAATCTGTTCCCCTTAAGTGATATTGACTCTCTGACTTTGAACAGCTTCGGAGTACTGGGGCAAAGCAAGTTATTTTGTGCTTTATACATTATCTGTGCCATTTTATATTCAACTAAATCATAAAATTTCAGGGTATTCAGATTAATAAACAAAATGTTAGTTGGTTCTATATAGTT